TATCAGAATTCTAAAATCATGATTTGTATATGTCATCTTTTCACCAATTAGACTTTTTTCTTCATTATCAATTTGAATAGGAAAACGACTTTTATATACCTTATCGGTTTTGATAATACAATGTTATAATTATTATTTATTATAAAAGATAGTGTTTGTCATTTATTTGATTTCAAAATGTGAAAATATTTTCATAGTTTAGGTCTCTTTTTATTTATGCATTTACACAAATTAATTTAAAAACTCTAATAACGATTGGCAACAAAAAATGTTATATATTGATTCTAACCAACTAATTAATAAAAGAGTCCATCAATCACGAAATTAAAAAATAACACACGATCACCACATTTCAAAGATTAAGTTTTTTAGATAAACATTCACATATATTGTCATGACGATAAACAAGAGTGAGTGTCAATCTTAGAAATTTGAAGATTTCAACTGCTATATTTCCAATGGTTTTTTTACCGTAGGAATTTCCGTTGGAATATGCAAATTCCGTTGAATTTTTTATTTCCACCCGTTGAAAAATCCACCGTTGGAATCCAACGGAAATTCCAATGAAAAATTCATTCCAACAGAATATTTTTGTTGGAATTTCCGTTGGAATCAATTAAAAATTTTGAACGAAAATAGTTGTACTGAAATATCTGTTGGAATTGTCGTTGGGATAATTTCTTTTGGAATAGATTTCCATTAGAATTTTATCATTTTTTGTAGTGTGTCCAATAATCAAACTAATAATGTTGTTTACAATTAAGTATTTAATAACATATGATTTTTTCATACCCGAACATTTTATGAGCATTTTCCGCTCAAAACATTAGTTACCTACTATAGATGGAAATAATATAAAATTATTTAAATTAAAAAAATCACTAATTGAATAATTTTCATATAACTCGATTTTCAGTTTGTGTTTGTTTTAGTAAATTCTTGGTTTTTCTTAATTACGTTGATAGTGGTTTTGTAGGCAAAGATTATGTAAATAATTATATGTAGCAGATTTTAGAACTCTTATTTATCAAGGATTCTTTTTTATTTTAACAAAATTATTAGAATCATTGATTTGATTAGCATATATGTTACATACACACACACACACAAAAAAAAAAATAGTAATATTTAAATTTACATGGCGCCAATTTTTGGAATTCTCATTTGTGAGGATTCTTTTTTATTTTATCATATTTATTAGAACCAATAATTACAAAATATAAATTTATATTAATATCTAAATATATTTATATAAATATGTAAATATATTTTTCATTGTAGCATATTTTGAGAATAAACGATTTTATATGAGATATTACAAATCTTTTTTTTTTTAGATATACACCAATTCCCTTTGTTGGTATTCTTTTTGTCAATTGTTTTTAAAAGGAAAATTTTTAAAATTTTGTATAGTAAATCGTATTTTTGTTTTTGTATACACAAAATATAATTTATTGCAATATATATGTATATAAATTTATTGCCTAGAAAGTTGTCACACATATAATAGGAAAGTTGTCTAATTAAAAATTTTTCAGTTTGAAAATATATAACAAGTTGTCACACATTAAAAAAAAAAATTGTTCGGCTTGAAAAAATTAGCCTGAAGTAATGTCTAATCACTAATGTTTTATATTTTATATCTACTATATATAATCTCTCTCATAGAATTAGTGTGATGTAATATTTAATATTTTGTATTATTCATACATATTTTTGTATAATTACACCAATTTATTTGTCCAACTATTGTATAAATTATCATATTATAAATAGATCCATCTTAGACTTCCATTTAAGTTCCAGCGGCACTATTTCCTTCTGATTTTAGGGTTACATTTAACAGTCATGATCAGTCTTTTTGCATAAAAATATAGAAATATTAATGAATATTATATAGCTAATACGTATAATCGATATTTAACTAACAACTCATTGTCTGACTGCCTAAGTAAATTATCATATTATAAAAAGATCCATCTTAAGATTTTATTTATATTATAGAGCACCAGTAACTTATAATCTTATAGTTTCATTTAAGATCAGGGTCAATCTTTATGTGCGTTGGCATATTATTAAAGAATCGGTTATTAGCAACGACTTATTATATGTTGTTGTTTTTACGTGTAAGTAACAAATAAGAGATGTGCATTGGCATGTTCTTAAAAAAAAATTGATCACGACCAATTGTATGGTGTTACGCGTGTAAGTAATAGGTCAAGAATAGTCAAAGTCAACATTTATGTACGTTGACATGGTAAGTAATAAATCAAGAAGAGTCAATGTCAACATTAATTGTACGTTGGCATGTTCTTAAAGAAATTGATTTTTAGTCACCGACAGTTATATTGTTTGTTTCGCGTGTAAATAATAGAAAAGTGTTGAAAATATTAATTTGTGGAGACAACGAGATGCTCAGTTATTGAACAAATAATATTGTGTACAAGAAAGTTTAAATAATATATTTTTTTTCCATGAGGAACATTTTATGGTTTGATAATTTTTCTATGAATTATCACTCTTTTATTTATTATTAATACATTCTAATTTTTAATATTCTCCAAAGTAAATACAGCCCGTGCATCGCACGGGTTACATACTAGTTTAACTAATTATTATTTAATAACTGATTATAAATATTGTTGTATTTAATTATGAATTGATAACTGAATTAATACTAAACGTAATTTCAGTTGAATTATTCAACCATTGTTGAATTTTGTCGTAATTTAATTATATTATTCAAAAAATCGTCTCAACTTTTCTTTGTATACTATATGCATTGGGCCATGAAATGTAGTAAAAACTGAGTATCTCATTTTTTTAAATCTATTACTATATAATAGCAATAAGGAAAATTATAAAAATAGCATGACAATTTCCGCTCAAATTTCCTTTTTTTACTACTAATGGAAGTTTTTTATTTTTTTTTTATTTTTAATTTGATTTATTTCTCCCGCTCATCACATGTTTTCAATTTCGAAATTAATTCCAAATCACTATATATCCGGTCAAAGTCCTAAATTTGGTATATATGTTTGAAGATTTGTGTATCTATATATATATATATATATGTGTGTGTGTGTGTGTGTGTGTGTAAAGGAAGTAACTAAGCCATATTTTAAGATACATTGATTACTCAAATCATGTGAATTAATTAATACGTGATATAAAGTGTTTAGAGAAGTAATTAAGTCATATTTTAAGATAATTTGATTACTCAAATCATGTGAATTAATTAATATATGGTGTAAAGTGGACGAAATTTTTGGTATTGATGGTTGTTTATATAAGAAATAAATTAATCAATATATGGTATAAAGTGAGGAACTTTATTTAGATTATTTGATGACTATATTTTGATAGGAAATTTCCTTTTTTTTTTTAAAAAAAAAAAAAATAATCAATATACTATGTACTTTTTTGTGTAATGCATAGACCAATATATTGGTTTTCCTTTTTAGGCGTGAGTTTCAATTTTTATTTTATTTTTTGATGAAATTAACATAATAAAATTATCGTAACTTCGACAAAATAATATAAATGGATATTTTGATATAATGTTCGTTTGTCGATTTTCTTTTATAGAAAAATTTTTGGTCATTTTTTCTGGTTTAATTCATTTTTTGTTATGATATTTCAAATATTTTTTGTGTGAAATGCATTGTTCAGTTTTTTAACAAGTGTTAATTTTTTTGGCGTAAAAAAATCTTATGACTGATTGTTTTTACACAACTTAAATTTTTTTATTTGGATATTTTATACAAAAATAAATTAAATGTAATTAATGAATAAATATTAGTTTTATATTTATACTTATTATTCACATAGATTTTTAAATATATGATAAAATTTACCAAAATAATTATTTCATGGAATCACGTTATAGTCAAATCAAATTTTTGAATAACAAGTTTGAAATGACACATATTTTGAAATGAATATAATGTAATTTATCATCAATTATGCGCAACGTACGAGTTATGTACTAATTTTAAATATATATTTATGTAATTTTCCACAATTTAAATTTTATATAACATTCTTAATAAAATAATATAGGTACATTGTATTACATATTGATTCTATGTTTCTCATTTATAAATATTATTTAATAAGAATTTTTAATTTATAAATATTAATGAATATCTTTGACATGTGCATCGCACGAGATTTGTACTAGTTATACATGAACAACTATTAGATTAGATTAAATAATGCATATTCTACAAATAGCGGTTGGATGAGATGACTTGGGTCTCTTCCAGCTTAACCAGTGGTCTCGTGCTCGAGCCCTGAGAATGCAACAGTGTTAAAACTCTTGAGGGAGAGCTTTGCCGCCCTTGTGGTCCTACCCGGCTCG